GTGTCCTTTATTTTGTACATGAGGAAGGGGGACTAGGGAGGGGTAAGTGGAAGGAGGTGAGGGAGGAATGGGGTACGAGCCCCCGATGGGGAGGACAGGGCTGGCTCTGCAGGCTCCTCGGGGTGGAAGCTCTCCTGCAGCCCCTCGATTGACCCCCCCCCTCCGGATGGCAGCCTGCGGCAAGTGCAGCCGGGCTGATGGCCGAGTGCTGTGATGTGCCGAGTGTGGACACTCAGGGCACTCCAACTGCTTTGCAAGTGGGGAACCCCTGAGAACTGTCTGTCTGGGGTGGGGGTCGGGTCCCTTTAAGCACAGCCCTCGGCTGGAAGCTCTCCTGCAGCCCCTCGATTGACCCCCCCCCTCCGGATGGCAGCCTGCGGCAAGTGCAGCCGGGCTGATGGCCGAGTGCTGTGATGTGCCGAGTGTGGACACTCAGGGCACTCCAACTGCTTTGCAAGTGGGGAACCCCTGAGAACTGTCTGTCTGGGGTGGGGGTCGGGTCCCTTTAAGCACAGCCCTCGGCTAGCCTGAGACAGCAGCTCCACACTCTAAGTCCTAACCTGATGCCCTGCCGGCACTGCTTCCGGCCATCCTTAACCTCGGTTCAGTGTCCACTCAGTGTGGACATGCTAGTTCGAATTAGCAAAACACTAATTCGAACTAGTTTTTAAGTCTGGATGCACTAGTTCGAATTAGCTTAGTTCGAATTAACTAATTCGAACTAAGTTAGTTCGAATTAGCGCTGTAGTGTATACATACCCTAAGAGAGTAAATAATGGCATTATTCAATTCACTTGTGTCAAAATGAGTAAAAATATTTTGACCACTTACTCAGCATCTTAATGAAAGAGAGAACCATTGCCCAAAGTCAGATACATGGTGTCACAGCTATTAAATACTTTTTAAAATATTAGGAAAGTTAGTATAATATTATACCTATATGAATTTATGACTAATTTTTCTAATTAAGCAGATACAAACAAAAAATGAAGGGCACTGCTATTAGTGATTAGGACATAGACACGAGTTTAAATTTGACTTCCATTGCTTTAAAAAGGGGTCTATAATTTCAATAAATTATAAATTGAATTCTGACATGATTACGGTCAATGTTAGTCTACAAATTTTACAAAGTATTTTGCCTTATGACTGCTCTTGTGGATTGCCTCTGCCTTTAATCTTTCAATCATATTAAAACGTATAAATTAGTATTAAAAGCAAATGTAAAGATTTTGAAGATCAAGGTCAATGAGGATTTGTGTGATACTATTACCGCTTACTGCTATTCTTGCCAATTGAATACCCCCAGAAAAAAATGCCATACCTCAGACTATGTCTACAATGCAGAAAGCTTCTTGTGCAAGAAGCCTGCAGTGTAGACGTAGCCTCAGTGTGGTACATAAAACCTTTTCATTTACATGGGTGACTCAAATCTGAATTACTATATTGTTTGTATGGATGAAATTAATGACACCAAACTTACAGAATATATATGAAAGTAGTCAACAAATTTATTTTGTGAAATTTCTGTAAGTTAATATCAGAAAACTGACTGAAAAAATTTTGAACAATAACACATGCCACCAAAATTAGACAATTTTCTGCCATAAAATTATTTTTTGATGAGACAGCTATAAATTTATTTAGATCAATTCAACCCATCCAGATACTTTAGCAAGGTTTCAGAACATTGGCCCTTGATGATATTTGCCTCAAACAATTGGGTGCCTTCCCTCTCCTGTTTTGATATGTCCGACTCACCCTCAGGATTTGTTGCTACAAAGTGAAATATGCTTATTTTTTAATCGTAGGAAAATATAGAAAATCGTTTAAAGACACTAAGTCCTTCATAATTTAATCATCATAGCAAAATTCATTTACAAACATACCATATTATCCTCCAGTTAGTGTACCTGTTCACATAAAAAGAGATTAGAATTTAAATTGTCCTGTATAATCACTGTGATAATCAGAAATCTCTTTGTGAGTAGCCTGTTCCAGTGAAACAACTATGCTTTATCTTTTTACTAAGCAGTTGATTTCCACAAATCCTTTAACTTAGAGAATTTAAAATCATTGTTCACCTGTATTTATTTGATACTATTATGAATTTTTGCAAATAAAAGAAAGAAATAAAAATATCATCTGAAAATATTAAATTCTTCTTACCAGTCAGTGCTCAATTTTCTTGCTTTCAACAACTGGCTTTCAATCCAATTTGGTCTTTGTTGTTCTATACTCTGTATAACCTTCTGCGTTACTTGTTTAGGACTACTTTTCTGTTTTCCCACAATACTTTCCAAACACACACGAACTAAATTCAGTTTCTCTTTGCTCCATCTGTCAAGCGTTGCACCTGTTAAAAGTTCTGCTGTGTTTCCATCCTCAAAGATCCGACATATAATTACAATCAAGTTCCAGACAAGCAGACCAGCTTTCTTTGATTCAACAAAGTTTTTTGACATTTTCTTCTCAGACAGAAAAAAGAAGTATTTAATTGGGGGAGGCAAACATGCAATCACGGTAGGTAACTTGCTGATTACAATAGATACAGCTTCAGCTGCAAGTCTTGTGAAGCCTTAAAAAAAAAAAAACAGAAAGAAAGAAAAAGAAAAGTAAAAAAAGAAGGTATCATTAAGGTTAATATTCTGGTTCTATCACAGTACAGTTATGAGTGTTGTGAGATGATGTCTAACTTTTTAGTGAAAAAATGTCTAAAAAGATTAAGAGCTCGAAAGTGTTGTTAGACTTCTACTATATTCTACTATATATTAATCTTTAAAAAATTATTTAAATGAGTTCCTGTAAGGACCTGAAAACTGAAAACCAAGACAATTAAGAATAAAGATTGCTTCTCTATTTGTAACTAGTCCTGTTGTGCTCAGCTATTATAGCACAAATAATAGAGTACAGCTCACATATTATAACATATCTAGTAGAAAAAAAAATATTTTTTTAAAAGACAATCTTTGTGAAAGCACACCAAAACACTGAAAATAAAGTTTTCAGCTACCAATTTAGGAAAAAGGTTGGATGGCTAACAGTTTGCAACTACCTTGAATCATACTTAGCCATCCAATCTTTCTCCTAAACTGGTAGCTGAAAACTTTATTTTCAGTGTTTTGGTGCACTTTTAGAAAGATTGTCTTTTAATTTTTTTTTCATTTTTTTATTTTTGTCTTTTTAGTCTTGGGGGGGTGAAGGAGGAGGGCAGCCTGCCGGGGGTGCTGTGAGTCAGAGCTGGCAGTGGGGAACAGCAAGGGGGCCATGAGCCACGCGGCGCGAAGCCAGGTGGGCTGGGTTCAAGAGGTGATGGGGATGGCCTGCCAGTAGGCCTGTGAGCCGGAGCTGCTGGGAGTCCATGACCAGAGCTGATGGGGGCGACCTGCTGGGGGAGGGGAAGGGGGCTGGTTGGCAGGCTACCAGGGGGGCCGAGTCCTGGAGCTGGCAGCATAGAGGAAGGCGGGCCCGCATGTAGTGGGTGACCTGCCTGTTCGGGGGGAGCCAGGTGGCAGAGCATGCGCACGCCTGCAGGAGCTGCTGTAGGAGCTGGCAGGCACAGCCAGTGCGTATGCAGGAGAGGCAAGGTGCATGTGCAGGAGGGGAAAGTTGAAAATCCCGTGAGACAGACAGACAAGAATGGTGACGACTTAATAGAAAGATTATCTAATAAAGATCACTCGTTATTCTGAGTGAAATGGGACAACTGTTTGACTTTAAAATTGCTATTTTTTTTTGTTTAATTTGCGACGTAGGGTAATGTGGTAAATCTCTCAGAATCCTAAAGTGTATTTGTAAAGTTTACTTTTTTTCCCTTTCCTTTTTCAGATCCACAATGTCCTCACGTATCAGTCTGAATCTGCAAAAGTGACGAGGAGTCCTGTGGCACCTTGTGGACTAACAGATTTATTGGAGCATAAGCTTTCATGGGCAAAAACCCACTTCGTCAGATGCATGTTCTCACATCACTCAGAACTATTTGCTTCTGCCATACCAGAAGTCCTCAACTTACAAAAGGGTTATGTTCCGAAAGTTCATTTGTAAGTCCATTGTTTGAAAATCAGAACTTCCCAAGCTAGCCGACAAAGCCTATTTAACCCATAATGTAGCTGAAATACCGTATATTTGCAATGAAAAATAGCAGAAATAGGTTTTTATGTATTGAACGTTGAATACTTGAATGGTTGAATGGTTTAATTAGAGGATGAGGAAATAGGTGGAGATTCTGAAGGGGACTTCTGGGCATCTACCAGATGCTACCTCACTCTCCCGCGGGCTCTACGCTGACCCCTGCAGCCAGCCCCATCTCCTGGGACACAGGAAGCAGTACAAACACAGGCCGTAAGACTCTGGAGGAGCACTTTAGAGACTAACTAATATATATAATCATCAGCTGTGGTGGGTAAAACCCACTTCATCAAAGAAATTGGAATGAAAATAACAGAATCTAAGGCAGGAGTGGGCAAAAAGGCATCTGTGGGCTGGATCCAGCCTACCAAGAGAACTGATCCAGCGCATGCAGGTCCTGCCATTCCTCTGCCCCTATGCCAATCAGGGCCTAGGGACAGGGGTGTGTGTGGCATTTAGAGGCAACCCTGGTAGTTGACTCTAAGCGCTGCACTCTAGAGAGGCAGGTGTGCTGCCTGCTGCCTGCTCTGAGATGCTGGACAGTTGGCAGGTGACTGTAAGCACGGTGCTCCCTTGTAGGGCGGGGGCAGACTTTGCGTGCTCCTCCCAGCCCCAGGCCCTGATTGACCTGGGGGCAGGAGGGGAGCATGAGAAGTCCCCTCCCACTGCCAGGAGCATGGGTGCCTAGAGGGCATTGCCAGCTGTTCAGAACAGCTAGTGGTTCTCTCTGGAGAGGTGGGGACAAAGACTTCATGCGCTCCCCCATCTACTGACCAATCAGGGTTTGTGGGTGGAGAAGCATGGAAGTGTTCTGACCCCGCCACTTCTGCCCAGGACCACTTCAAAAATTTCTGATGTGGCCCCCAGTCAAAAATTATTGCCCACCCTGATCTACGGTATGTATAATAGCAAAAGCAATTATCTGTCAATTGTAGGACCCATGTTAATAATGAAGCTAATTAAGTAAGCAGGATATGTCCCATTCATAGCTTTTGATGAGAAAATGAGAATGTCAAAGGCAGGGGAAATTGACTTGTACAAGTGACATCATCACAGGATCTAACCATATAAGCCATAACATCAGGGGCTCATACAACAGCACATCCACTAACTTGATATATGCTTGCAATGCCGCTCTGCCAGATATACTGGCCTAACTAGACAGCCTCTGTAACAAATGGACACAAATCATACATCAGGAATAGCAACACATATAAACCTGTCTGGGAACATTTTAACCTACCTGGACACTCAATAATGGATTTAAAAGTAGCCATTCTTCTACAACAGAATTTTACCAGTCAATTACAGGGAGACATGGAATTCATTTACAAATTAGAATATATAAAATGAATATATTAACTGGTTAATGCACTACAAAGCCAATTTCCCCTGCCTTTGATGACGTGGGTTTTACCCACGAAAGCTCATGATCCGATATATTTGTTAGTCTCTATGGGTATGTCTACACTACCCCGCTAGTTCGAACTAGCGGGGTAATGTATGCATACCGAACTTGCTAATGAAGCCCGGGATTTGAATTTCCCGGGCTTCATTAGCATAAAGCCGGCGCCTCCATTTTTAAAAGCCGGCTAGTGCGAACCGGAGTGGAACAAGGAGTACAGATAGTTCGGAATGGCTACGTAGTTCGAACTATCTAGCCCGTGCCACGTGTAGCCAGCTGTCCACCTTGAGATTTAAGATGAAGGTTCACTTTTCAAGCTCATCCTACTCCTGTTCTGAACGCTGAAATCCCCATTAAGACGTTGAAATAAGTGTAATTTTTAGTGCCACACCACTCAGTCTTCCCTCAATCCATCAAGACCCACTGTGCTACTTACTCTCTTTGGGTATGTCTACACTACCCCGCTAGTTCGAACTAGCGGGGTAGTGTAGACATACCTTATGATGCCATAAGACTAATCATTGTTTTTAGTTAAACTGAGAATCAGGTCATGATTTTAGTATCAATCATTTTTTTATACAGGTCAAACCTCCCTTGTCTGGAACCCTTGGGATCAGAGTGATTCCAAACAATGGAGTTTGCCAGACAAAGGGAGGTTAAGGCTCTCCACCTGGCTGTAACCTCTGTGTCTGGCTAGGTCTGCGCCCCCAACTGTGCCAGTCCTGACCTGGGCTGTGTCCCCCACCACGCCAGCCCTGGACAGGGGCTGCGCTCTCCACTGCCAGCCCCAGACAGAACTACGCTCCTGCCTACTGACCATTCTGCCTCTAACCCTGCCTGGGGCTGTTCTCCCCATCACCAGCCTTCACCAGGGTTGTGTCCCACCCCCCCACTCGCCAACCCCAGCTGGAGCTATATTCCTAGCTGCTGACCCTGCTGCCTCCTGCCCCAGCTGGGGCTGATCTCTTTGCTGTCAGTACTGGCCAGGGCTATGCTCCCTACCACCAGCCCAGACCTCTAAAATCTGTGATTCTCTGGTCCTGTCGGACAATGGATGTTGACAGACCAGAGAGTCACAGATTTTAAAGGTTCAACTTGTACTTGCAAATTTTAAAATTATTTTTTTTTCAATCACAGTTGGTCAAAAATGTACTCGAAGGAATCTTTGTTCCTTACCTATTTTAAAAATCGTTTCTATTATTATCTGTATTTATCATATTACTTTACTAATTTTAATTATGGGTTAGTGAAAAACAGTCGCAAATTGTATGCTAATTTCAGTGCTATATAAATATAAATCAATTATAAAGTGATAAATAGGGTTACAATGTTTCAACCATAATAACATATCTTAATTAAAACTGTGATGACTATGAGATAGTTACAACCAATGAAATATAAACATTTCACAGTACAGTACTTTCTTCTGATTGAGAAACAAAATAAAGTAAAACAAATTTCTGATTTTCATCACCAAGAGATCATCCTAGGATATTTTGAGCTCTATTGTACTATACTCTAGTGCTATGAGATTTGTGAATAGACTTAAAATAAACATACATACTTAAAAACAAAAAAAGAGGTATGCAAGGATGTAAATCCCAAGTTATTGCAGGATTAACTTAATAAAGAAGAAAAAATGTACTGAATTATAGCAATTTCACTATACTTTTCTTAAAAAGTCAGGAAATTTGCTTGCAAATTACAATAATGTTTGTTGTAAAATCATATCACATATCAATTCTAATTTTTCAATTCTGACGTGTTGTCATTAAATGGGTAATAAGTTCTTCTGACAGATTTATATAAAAACACTATTTAAGTGTCACCTTACATTTCCCAGATTCTTTTCTCTTCATTTCTCTAGGTGTATAATTCCACTCCTTTGGAATGGTCTTCAGCAAACTTTCAGGAACTATTTGCTTGTGTTGATAGGTTCCATAGTTTTCTGTTGCTTCCCATGAATGCATCAAAGAAATTATCTGCTTCACTATACCCTTGACTGAATTAATCAAAGTCATCTTCAAACATCTGATAACCTCTGGCTCTGGTTCACCACAACTAGACACTTGAGGGGGGAAAAAAGCAATTAAACATTCAATATGAAAACAGCCATTCTACTATTAGAATGCCAAAAATAGATGTTATGAAAAGAAGAGTAACAAAATTATGATTCACAACAATTTCATAGTTATAGTCATATAACAAATCAGAGAAGCATTACAAAATTAAAAGAATATGACTTGTATGACAAAATATTACAGGAACATGCATTTTATAGTTTAATTTCCTTATTTACTTTTCTTTTTTGTTTTTGCCTTTCATTTGAAGTTAAAAATTAAACTTTTTGAATTCATACTGTCCCTTTACATGCTGCATATATTTTTAGATGGTTGTTAATGAAGCCAGTTGATATGATATTTTTTATTTACTCCTTTAACTTCCTAACTGGATCATCAATAACATTGCTTAGCTATACAGAAAGAAGGACAACAGACATTTGACATGGATTTAATAAGGCTGCAACTGCAGGTGGTATTGGGTACAGGCTTTTGAAAGGTGAATACACCCATCAGGGCAGGCAAATTTGCAGATTACCATTCGAGGGGCAATGCAGTATGTTCATCCCACAGCATTAAGGGTTCGGCAGCAGGATCCTTCACAGAATGGCCTGCACAGAACTTGCTGGTTAATCTCCTGGGGTTTGGTCTTCAAATAGGCTCTAAGACACTATCCCATTACTTTATTATCTTTTCTGGATTCACACTGGCATAGCAGATATCTTGCCTCACGTTCACATAACAGGTTTCGGAAGTTGGCACCAAGAGCCAGCCCAAAATCTGAGTGAATTCCACTAGCTACATGGAACCTGGAGGTAGGATAGTTTGCAAGGTAGTATGGAGAACCACTGTCTGCTTTCAGATGGCAGAGCTATGGGGACAAGTCTTAACAAATTCATGCAATTACAGGAGCAGAAAGGCTAGTCACCTAATTGCCCATTACAGAGCAACGAGTGCACAGGGTTGTGGGCAACCTGTCAACTGGCATCCCGACCAATCTTGGAATCATCTGCCAGATGATACATTTGTCAGGGACTATATGGTTATCCACATCCACACAGCAGTCTTAATTCAAAGGTTGCTGGCAAGGTGAATTTCAGTTATCCCATCCAGCAGTCATGCAGACACATCAGCCCTGACAATCTCAGGAATCTAAATGGCCTTTCACAGAGCAGCATTCTTAAAAGCAGTTTTGATACATTCAGGATCTGCAAGATAATGCCTGGATTAGATAGAGGCACTGCTGGGTACAGGGACACAGGCAATTCTGACAACTGGAAATTGTTTTTTGGAGGCATGCAATACGCATGTGCAGCTTCATAGGATCAGTTACCATTGTGTTGTGATGCCAGTCCAGGCATTGCAGACCGGCTATGAAGGTGTTGGTGTGTGTCTGTAGGCACAAGATTATTTTTCTTACGCACATGGATAGATGACACTGTGTCTTTATGGATTGGAAAGCAGGGTCCAGTAGCAGGGCAAGTTTGTATTGGCATGGAAGGAGAAGCATGTTATTGAATCAGCTCATGCCACTGATGCTCGCTGAGTAGCCCATCAGAGGTATAATCTACAATGTTTAGGTTTCAGTGTGAATACTCCATGGAGATGAATGAATCAGTTACTCTGAGGCCGGGACTACACTAGGAGATTAGGTCAAATTTAGCTGCATAAGGTATATTTTCTAAACAATGAGTCCACACTACCACGCCTGTTCTATCAACTTTAAGGATCACTAAAGTTGATTTCGGTACTCTTTTCTTGTGCACATGACAAGAGACATGGACCTCTGACTTTACAAAACTGGGTGCTAAGAAACAACCTTAATAAATTCAACCTTATCTTATAGTGTAGATATGGCCTTAGAGGTGAAGATGTGGAGCTTGCCTCTAGAGACAGTAAGCATTCAACAGTTATAAGAGGTGTTTACTGCTTGCTGCCTAAACCCTCACAGATCTGGAATAGCCCTCAACCCCCATGGTCAGAGGCAAACACTTTTGAACATTGGACTTCTGCTGTACCCTATTTTTCTACAACCACTAATACTGTATCCATCAAGATATCCAGTTTCTACAATCCCTTGATGAGATAATAGACCATAGAACTAATAAGAGTACATATCTGAAAATGAAGACTAAACTCTGGCTTTAAAATGATTATTTCACTAATTGTTTTCATACCTGACATATTGTATAAGCAATCCCACAGTTGCTCTTTTTCCATGTAGCTCTCAAGAACACTACCAAGGGATTTGGGTGATAAAGTGCAGTAAGACAACACTGTAAAGATTGCTTCAGTCAAACTGGCCTCTTTGTTATTTATCTGTTTTATGCAGGAACTTTGTTCATCATATTTTGATACTTCAGTTTCTTGAAAATAAATAAAATAGTGGTTAACAGAATGTCCAATTAATTTCAGCTATGGAAATAAAAAAGTGTCAATCAAATCAAACTGAAAACTATATCTGAACTACATTTCAGAACGCAATGCAATTTACAAACACTGAAATCTTTCAAATTATAATATATGATTAATTATGCCTCCTTAAGTTATACCTAAGTCATTAAAATGTATCAGAAGTACTTTAAAAATACAGTGTACACTTACTTTAATTCAAAATACATTCAAAACCTAATTAGAGTTTGATTATCCACTAAAACAGGCATGATCAGTACAGTGCTACTTCTGTACTATAATAATATAAATCAATTGGTTAATATGCAAATCAAATGACATGACAGTTGCAGGACACACTCAAACACTAAAGTTTTGGTTTTTTAATTTCTTGTGATAATGAAAAAAATTTATCCAAAACAAAGTCCTTGTTCTGGCAAGATACTCAGACCAATATTTTCAAAAGTGACTATTCATTTCAACATCTGAAAAGGGGTTTGATTTTCAGAGACATCAGTGTTATCTGAAAATTGGAATCTCTTTAAATTACCCAAACTGGGCACACTAAATCTCTGACCACTTTTGAAAATCTTGGTCTCAGAGTTCTGTATCACTGTGATTCACTCATGTGAATATGGATTATTTTTATACAAAATGAAGGAATATAAGGTCTCAAAGGAAGAGTTGGGAAATCATGCCTTACTCTTCAACCCAGTTACAGTGTAAGGTATTTGAATTCTCCTATGAGATATGAGGCATTTCTGAAATTCAGTTTCCTGTGTGTGAGATCGAAGTTCCATCCACTCTCCATCCTTCTCCCATTTCAGAGAATTGTTCTTGGGTACTACTACTTTTTTGGATAGTTCTTACACACAGGCTACACAAGAAGAAGCTTCCTAATCTTTCCACCTATAACTAGGAATTATTATGGGGAACTTTGCCCTGTGCTTTATGCAGGTCAGACTAGATAATCTCAATAGTTTCTTCTAGCTTTGGAACCTATAAATCTATGAAAATCTACACAGCCACATAAGGAGAGGGGGTACTACAATATAGCCCTATGTATTTGTGCAATACCTCACATAATGAACACAATGGCATTATGATGATACAAACAATCATCCCCACCCTCTATATACACCTGAAACATATACATACTTATTTACATATCATTCATGCTGATTTTTTTTTTTTTTTTGCTTTTTGAGCATAAGAAAGGAAAAAGTTGAGAATTTTTGTAATTTTTATTCCTCTTTAGAAACTCTGTATCACCTGTGTTACCTGTGAAGATAAATTTCAGGTAGTTTGTAGGCAATAATGGAATTTACTCCAAAATCCGAAATTATAATTTGGTTGTATTTTAACTGCTTAATGAGCAATAATTCTGAAGAAATATGTAAGATTTTAGGCCGCACTAAGAGAAAAACCAAAATCTTCTGTCTTTGCTATGACCAAAAAATAGCTCTTGATAATTCTGATTTGCTTTATACAGAAAGCTAGATCAATCACACGTCTACAAATATGTATTGTTATTAAGATCATATCAATTTTTCTGGAGAGTTTTATGTGTAAAAAGTGCACTGTTTGAAATGGTATTTGAAAAATGTGTTTGGTTGATCCGTACTGCATACTATTTTATAACACAATGTTTCTTTCCTATAAAATATCAAATTTGTAATGTAAAGAATGTGGTCAGTTGTACCAGCACATATTTAATCAACTGAAATTACTCTAGAATAAAAAGACTATTACAGGTTTCAATGTTATATAAAACAACAGTTCATCAATGTTATTGTAGTTGATATAGTTCTGCAGCATACACAAACAACATAATTTCTAACTCAAAGCAGCATATATTCTCCTGAAGCTCAAGGGGCTGGTCAGTCAATAGATTAATAAATTCTGTCACTTCATCCTTGTGATAATGAAGCAGCTAGTAAAATTCAATAGTGGATAACACCAGGGTAAGAATATTATCCTGATCAAACATTTGTCAGTCTTTGTACAAGATGACAGGTATTTGAATAGGTAAGCGAATGCAGTTCAGCACTCAATAAGAAGCATGACAGAAGTTGAAGCAATGTTGTGCTTCTGACAAATGTAAGACTACTTTAAAATGACAGAAGTAAATTATGTTATGTTTAATAGTATGTGGACCTAATATTTTCTGTTTGATAAGTTATGAGAATGTTAAAAACTGAGTTTTAACAATAGAATATAGTTCAACATTATGGCAAACGTTATGCCAAATCAGTTGCTACACCATAAACTATTCAGAAATTTGATTCATTTATTTGAAAGCTACTAAAGAGTTTGATGTGATAACAATGTTTATTGTTTTCAAATGCAGTAATAGCACAATAAAAATGAAAGCCTGTGTAGAACCATTTTTTCACTTGCTTTCCTATTTCTCTCATAATTACATACCTCTAACTATTAAATATGAGGAAGAATACAGTTACAGTTTACAATAACATAAACACACACAATTTCTTAAGGAAAATCTCTTAGAAGTTTTTCAATGTTGAAAGCAAGTGATCCTTTAGAATCCTAACTCCGAATAGGGTTTGTTTGTTTTTCCCCAAGCAAAATCTATTTAAAGAAGTTTTGGTACTCAAACTCCGAAAAATTCAAATTCATTAATTTATTTAGCAAACTGAAATCATGAAAGTGGTCTATTTTATCAAAATGCTATCTGCCTTCAAAATATGAATGTTCAGATTGACAACAACTCTTTTAGGAGAAAGTGATAAAGGATTCTTTCCCCTCATCCCCACTTTTCAATATTTGTCCCACTGCTAAATAGATGAATACTGATACCCATAATTGGCTAAAATCCTTCAGTCAATATTCAAGTAGTGAAAAATGTAGCAAAACTCACAAATGTATCTGCATTCTTGCTGCTATTCTTACAAAGCACAAATACTTACTTGAACATCTTAGTAAAATTTTCGCTAAGAGGCAATCCTGATGTAGCAGTGTTTCCAAAAGTAAGTTCCAATTACAATACGGTTGGGATAAGAGCAGTTTCAGTTGACCCTGGGCTGCCATTTCTCCGGTTGATGGAATCCTTTCAAAACGTAAGATAAAGACAGAATAATGTAGTTAATTTATCTATGAAATTAATAGCCTTAAAGTGCAGATGTAATGCTAACTCCTTTAAATGTCAATTCCTCCCAGATTACTCAGAAAACGCTTTCATGCTTGCTTACTTTAAGGCTGCTCAAGGAAGGAATTACATTTAATCTCAACTAGCTAAAAGCAAATTAACATTTGGTAGTCTGCCAAGTTTATAACTGATACAAAGTAACCTCACTTATCTCTTTCATGGAACCATGTATGTTCTTGTTCCATAAGGCAAAAATGAATTTTCTTATGCTTGAATAAATTTGAGGTTATTATATTTGAGTACAGTATTACATTAATTGTTTAGCATGAAGCTATAAAATGTCTGAAATCAAGTATAAGAATTGGATAAATAACAAAACCAATGAAATTGTAAAAGGAGTATGTAATGGGGTGTTACAGGAGCTGTTCTTTCAGTGTTAAGGATATTTTTCTAAGTCCTGCAAAATCCACCTGCAAAATGAGATTGCACTCATAACTGGTATGCCAACAAAGAGCCCTGCATAGATAGTGGTTCAAATCTGAGGTAATTTTGAACACAGATTTCCTCAGATACAATCCTTCAAAATTACCTGTTTCAAAATATTACTTATCCCTCAAATAGCTGAGTACTATGGTTTGCTTCAAAATGCAAAAATTGATAAGTTAATTGATTTTTTCTGATTTTACAGTGTGATGTACCTAGCATTTGCAAGCAACTTTCCAAATTGGAGCTTCCATCTCTCCCATTCTCTGACCCCAAAAGTAGACCCAGAGTTTCTGGCTCAGTCTGTTTGGTGGAGGAATGACCCTCAAGACCCTTGCTACTCCACTAAACTGCAAGTTAGCTGCTTGGTCCCCACTCTGCTCTCTGGCCTCCCCAGGGCTGTGTGTTGCACTGTCAGGATGTTCAGGTGCCAACCCTCGTGGGTTTCGCTTCAGTCTCCTGGAGGCTGTTGAACCCAAACTGGAAATTGGCTAAAAATCTGGTGGCATGACAGGGCTAAGGTTGGTTTCCTGCCTGCCCTGGCCCCATGCTGTTCCTGGAAACTGCCAACACATCCCTCTCCGTGACTCAAGTGACTACTCTTCAGCTCCCGATGGTTGGGAACCACAGCCAATGGAAGCTGAAGGAGTAGTACCTGCAGACAGGGACGGCACCTCCACAGGGCCCCAGGAACATTCTGGACACTTCCTGGAGTGGCACAGGGCAAAGACAGGAAAGGAGCCTTAGGTATGTCTAGACTACATCCCTCTGTCATCAGAGGGATGTAAATTAGACATACCGACATTGCAAATGAAGCAGGGATTTAAATCTCCCGCGATTCATTTGAATAAAAATGGCCACCGCATTTTGCTAAGTCAGCAGTTTGTCAGTTCACCCTCAATCTCCTGTAACACCCAAACTCTCTCCCGTGGCCCATGCTCCCTCCCGCATTCTAACCCCCTGCCACGTGTTCAGTCCAGAACTCCTTCCCACACGCCAAACCTTTTGGCACAGCTCAGAGCCTGCATCGCTTTCCTAAGCCCGTGCCCCATCTCGGTTGGGCTGAGTGAGTGATGTGAGAAGAATGGATGGAGTGAGCGAGAGCAGGACCCTGAAAAAGGAGTGAGGCCTCAGAAAAGGGGTGGAACAGGATAAGAGTGTTTGGATTTGTGTAATTAGATAATTGGCAAAGCTGTCAGGATTGTGAGTGGGAGCCATGCCCCCAAAGCTTTCCACAGTGAGGAGGAGCAGGAGTCACTACCTTAAGAGGCAGCAGGGAAGATTTTGGGGTTGGCTGCCACTTGCTGATGGTACACACAGTGCAGATGTCCCCTGCACATGCAATGCCAGGAAGGGCAGGGAAGGCCCAGGTCAAGAACCAGAGAGAAGAGGAGGTGGAGCAGCAGGATTCCTGGTTCAGCAAAGCTGGTGGAGGGTAGATTTCCAACATCTGAGTGAGCAGGAGCTGCCTCCCACCTGTCAGCTTGTTCCCTGCTCCAGGCAAGGAATTCAGAAGGTGGGTGGTTTACAGATATCAGAGGGATGAGGTTCTGGAACAGACTCCCAATAGGTGTTGTGGAGGAAAACAATTTAAAGAGGGAGCTGGACATATTAATGAGTGCAACTGTATGACATGAATGCTTCTCATCAGAGGGAGACAAGTTAAACAGCTCTGGGTCTCACTTCCATTTTATATTTTATGTTTCTGAAAACCCATGCTTCAAGACATCAACTGGCCATCTAGAGGAATCAGGAATGGATTTTCCCCACCCTCCAACATAACCTGTGAGTTTTAAAAACAAACTCCTTCCTCTGAAGAATCAGAAAACCATGGCTGGAGATGGGACACTGGATGGGGAAGGGCAAGGCTCTGAAATGGCACCGAGCATTCTCTTTCAGTTGCTTTATTGTCTGTTATTGTCCTCATGCTTAGGGTCAAAATGATTATTATATGTGGGGTCAGGAAGGAATTTTCCCCCAGGTCAGACTGGCAGCGATCATGGGATATTTCATCTTCTATAGCGTGAGGATGCAGGTTACTTGCTAGAATAATCTGGCTATATCTCACTAAATTATGTTCTAACCATTGTGGGGCCTTGGGGACTGGTGAAAATCAGTCTCTTCTATTTTCTGCCTGATGCATGTAATAGTCTAGTCTCCTCTGAGCTGTAATACTTTTGTCTAATTTCCATTGTTGGGTTTGTTGTAAGGGTGCAGAAAGGTGCTGGTGGTTGTGATATACAAGAGGTCAGACAAGATCATCTGATGATACCTTCTGGCCTTAAACTCTATGACACCAATTATGGATAATTTCTGACTCACACATTTTGGTTCACTTATTTTTGGTCTCATGCAATCTTGTTTGCTAAGCATGCTGGCAACACAATTCCAGTAGGCTTTTCCTGGGAACTAATTTGCTCTTTCTTTCTCCCTTTTGTACCTTTCCCCACTAACATTCATTATTATAAGACAGTGTTTCTCACACTTAGGTCTGCAGACCCTTGAGAGGTCTGCGAGGCAACCTCCAGAGGTTCTCTCTCCTTCCCTCCCTGTGCTTCCTGGGTCCGATGGCCCAGAGCTAAAGCAAGCTTACGTCCTCTGGTTCCACACAGCTCCTGGAAGTGGCCTCCAGGAGACTATGGCTCCTACACATATGGGAAGCGCCACATACTGCTCTGCTCAAATGCTAGCTCTACAGCTCCTATTGGCTAGGAACCACAACTAATGGGATATGCAGGAGCAGAGCCTGTGAGTGCAATGGATGCTTCACTTGCCACTCATGCACGTAAGGGCTGCAGGGAACTAGTGGCCATTTCTTGGGAGCTTTGGCCAAGCATTGTTGGCACCTTGAGCCCTCTCCTGCACCCCAAACCACTCATCCCTGAGCCTGCACCCTCACCTGGAGCCATCACCCCCTTCTGAATGCCAATCCCCACCCTCAGCCTGGTGAAAATAAGTGAGGCTGGAGGAGACAGAGTAACAGAGGGAGGAAGAATGGAGCAAGCAGGCGTAGGGCCTCAGAGAAGGGGTGGGTTAGGGACAGGGCCTTGGTGAAAGGGTGGGGCAGGGGCCCCTGAAAAAAATTAAATCAAAATGGGGGCGGGGTTGCAATTGCTAAAGTTTGAGAATTGCTGTTATAAGTTATTGAGACTTCTTATGAACTTTCACTTTCACTATCATTAGGGTAAAGCTGTTGGTACAGTTATTACAACAAGTCTCCCACCTCTCCCTTTTCTGTCAGAGTTGGTCAGCTCTGACAAAGATATTGCCTTTTGATAATAATCTCTTTATTGACACAGGGAGCATTGAAAAAATCTTCGTTTTAGAAAACTCAGTTAATGGCTAGCCATTCACAGTCTGGTTGTGTCTACACTGCATCCCTTTTCTGGAAAAGGGATGCAGATTAGACACTTTGGAATAGCAAAATCCGCGGGGGATTTAAATATCCCCCGCGGTATTTGCATTAACATGGCTACCGCTTTTTTCCGGCTTGGGGATAAGCCGGAGAAAAGCGGCAGTCTAGACGTGATTCTCCGGAAAATAAACCCTTTTCCGGAGGATCTTTTATTCCTACTTTCCGGAAAAGGGGTGCAGTGTAGACACAGCCTCTTTGTTTAATCCTAAACAGATAGTGTCAAATTTGCAGATGAATTGTAGCTCTGCAGTTTCTCTTTGAAGTCTGTTTTTAAAGTTTTTTTGTGAATGGCTAGCCAACTACAAAAGCAGTTTCTCCTCTCTTGCTGTTCACACCTCCACATCAGCTTCTAGAAGGGGGCCTCATCCTGCTTGCCTGAATTGACCTTGTTATCTCAAACCTTACTCTTGATAGGAACTCTTTTCTTATGCCTGTATATTTATACCTGCCTCTGGAATTTCCAATACATGCATCTGACGAAGTGGGTCTTTGCCCATGAAAGCTTATGCTCCAATAAATCTATTAGTCTAGTAGGTGCCACAAGACTTCTCGTTGTTTTTGCAGATTCAGACTAACATGGCTATACCTCTGATACTTGCCTTTAATTTTGTTGACTGATTTTAAAAAAAAGACTGTTTAAATGTCATTTTAAAATCAATTTTGCACAATTTTAGCCATTACACTTACTTATTTGAGCTGAAACTGTATGCTCAAGCAGTTGATGATTTTGAAAGTGTATTCGCTGTTCATGTAAATTTTATGCACATAAATGTTACCTGCAATAGCACATTAAGTACTAATGCACCCGTGCAAAAACTATACATGCAGAGATGTTATGTACTAGTGCACATACAAAACCTTCTCTATCAGATAAGATCTTTTCACCAGAAGCAAGATGTTTCTGTAGTCTGTAAAGGAGAAGGATTTATATGCAGCTGAACATAAATATTACGTGCCATTTATGTGCAGCAGCTGGCACATAACCCCGAAGAGTTACTGATGGAAAAAAAATCTTTGTCAGCTGCTGCACTTTTACCTCTGTGTGTCAGCCACTGCCCATCCC